TTAATTTTTTTTATCAGTTAACCATGCTTTATTTCATAATGTTCTTTTTTAATTTTATTTTCGAATGTGACCATTTCTTGGTTAACCACTCCATATCCCTGAAATAACCGTAGGCTGCCTTTGAGAATAACAACAACAGTCTGGACATAATCATGTTTTAAAGGTTGACCACTTGTTACGCACCTTATTCTCCTTTAAACAAAGTTGTGAATCTCAAGTCCTCTCTGATTGTGCAATTTTTATTAAAATTTATTTTTAGCTTCTTGTTGTGTTGACTTTTTGTTTCAGTGATTACTGAAACTCCTTGTGCTGTAGTTAAATTTTGTTTAATTATCAAATAGTGTGTCAGATGACCACGTATATAAAGCTCTTTGTAATTTTTATATAAGTCCAATTATTATAAATTAATTACGATAATTTAATTCCACTCAACTTTGGAAAATACTATATTAATTCCCCTTTTGAATCTAGTGTTAATTTAAAAAAAAAACTGAAAGCTTAAACCTTTGTGGTTTTACACGGGGAATTAATCTGTCGATAAATTTCCATCAAAATAAAATTCTTTTTCTTATCTAGCATTCTTCTATATCACACTGGTTATAAAACACAAAAAATAAATGCTCATCCTAACTTAGATATCAACAATTTAAAAACGATCAGTGATAAGATTAACAACAACATTTTAAAAACAGTATGGCTTGTGTTCTAACTTTTTAGGGATCTTATTGAAACAAAAGTCTCTGTTTGGGCTGGTGGGTGCATGTTTAGGAATCTTGACAGTACAGATACATTTGTCTGCATTTTTGATCAAGAAATGAGTTAATGTTGTTGAACTCTAGGAGCTAATGTTGAACATTGGAAAGAAAAGTTTAATATTTTGAACACTGAAGATGGATTAACAATTTTTTGTATCTTTTTTTTTTATCTGTCATTCACAATTTAGACTGTATAAGTTTCAATCTGCTGTCTTAATCTTATGACTATCTTGATATTTTTATTAAGCTTTTAATTACATGTTAAAGTTAGAAGCAATAGAACAGAAAATAGTTTGGAATTTTAGTTAATACAAATTGTATATCTGAAATGCGAGGTTTTTAATGTGAAACGACCAGAAATGTTTTGAATTTAGCCTCACTGAATTACCAAACTTTTAGGTTTGTTAACACAGTACAGTCACTTAATTTTACCCTCGATTGATTGAACTGAAATGTAATTTTATATCTACCACATGCTTGTGTGTGTACTTATTGTTATGTATTTTGTATAGTAATGTTTCATATCAAATAATGTGTCTCAACTTAAGTTTAAGAGCATTATTACTATCTCTTGCTTCTGTATTTTCGATTAATACAAATCAAATTTTTTACCAGAAGTACTTACAGTTTTTGATAATAAAACAGTTTGTCTCAAATTGTGGTGTTTCAATGTCTCTATCCATGGAAATTTGGTAATGTTTTTGTAAGTTTGATAGCTGATGTTCTGAAGCCTAGGAACACTTTCTTTAATGAATAGTCGATTAATCACTCCAAGTGGGATAATTGGTTGTGCATCCGTGAACATTGCTACATTTGTCTTTATACACTGGCTGGTAAATAGCAATATACTTGCATTTAGCCTTGGCGGCAAAAACTTGAGGGTGTTTAAACAAATCCTCTTTATTTTATTAGTTGAGTAATGTTGATTACGTTACATTGCTGCTTAACGATAAAACACCCACAAGTATCGTTGGCAACAGCTATTTTTACAGCTTTGTGTTAAAACACAAACTGTTTAAGACTTAGCTAAGTTGCTGAAACTCTTAGGTAAGTTGACTAAATTTATTAAGAAGATAAAGAAAAACCTTCTGGAAAATAATAGTATGTGAGGTGAATCAAGTGATGTAAAAATGAAGGGTTGGTTCTTGATGACAGGAATGTTAAATCTGGTGAATCAAGTGATGTAAAAATGAAGGGTTGGTTCTTGATGACAGGATGTAAATCTGGTGAATCAAGTGATGTAAAAATGAAGGGTTGGTTCATGATGACAGGAATGTAAATCTGGCGAATCAAGTGATATAAAAATGAAGGGTTGGTTCTTAATGACAGAAATGTAAATCTGGTGAATCAAGTGATGTAAAAATGAAGGGTTGGATCTTGATGACAGGAATGTAAATCTGGTGAATCAAGTGATATAAAAATGAAGGGTAGGTTCTTGATGACAGGAATGTAAATCTGGTGAATCAAGTGATATAAAAATGAAGGGTTGGTTCTTGATGACAGGAATGTAAGTCTAGTTTGCATCGGCATGTTCCAGTTTTGGTCAAGTCGGTGTTCATTACTAACACTAATTTTTAGGAAGGACTATTTTTCAGTCAGGTTTGTGATACAATAAGGTTTTGATATTTGGAAACCGTTAATAAACTGTGTTGTTGTTTTTTTTTCTTATACCAAAGCCACATTCTGCTATCTGCTAAGTCCAACGAGGAGAAACTAACTCCTGATTTTTGCGTAGTAAGTCCGAAGACTTGCAGCGCTGTTTCACCGGGGAACAATGAACTTTTATTATTGATTAACTTATCAAAATATTGAAAAGTTATTCTGTGAACCCAAAATGTGAAGAGCATGATACGTTAGACTTATAGGAACGAAAATAGTTTTTTTTATATTTATACTTTGTTATAGGGTGTCGTCGTTGGAGGAACAGACTCTCCTTTCGCCCGAAGAGAAAGTTCCAGGCCCGTGATGAAAAATATTTCTGTGCCCTCTCAAAATATAATTTATGTGAATATTATAAAGTTGACTGAACTACTGTTAAACTGTTTTATAAGCACATTTATATACCAATTGATACTATTTAAGTACTTTAGGAGCACGTATAGTGACTAAATGTTAAGTACGGTGTTGTTAGTAGCATCAGATTTATATATTACATAACAAATACTTGTAATAGAAACGAAACTTGCGAATCACGTGCGTCAGGTAGGGAACTCCAAGTGACCAGTAAGCCAAGCGAATATCTCCTCCACGTAGAGCTGCCACCTGTTAGCAAAACTTCGAACGTTCTTCGAGTGCGATTTTTAAAAAATTATGTATACCTCCCCTGTGGCTCAACAGCAAATCTGAAGAATTATAACACTTAAAAACCGGGTTTCGATACTTGTAGTCTAAACATCATAGGTAGTTCATTTTGTGCTTAACAACAAACAAATAATTAATTATGTATATATCTAACAAATTATAAATTTATCAATTTTTTTTTAAATCAAAAGTTTTCATCTCTTCATTTCGGGCCCCCTAGCTGTCCTCTCTCTTATTGGGGACACTGTGGAAGAGATATCATGTTTAGCATAAGACTGGGTAGGTGCTGTCTATTTAGAAAGAAAGCGTTGTATCCTTAACAGCTAATTCAAAAGTTGTCAATGGAGCAAAGACGTCTAAGCCGCATAAACTGTATTTTGGGGGTAGTGTTTTTTAATTTGTTTGGCGTGAAAATATCTGAAGTTTAGATAAAAATGGCCTTCAGTAGATTTGTAGTAAACAGAAATCTCAAGCTATATGTTTCTGTATGGAATTTTAATACCAAGGAAATCTGCTTCATTGTTGGAAAAGTAGTACACAAATTTAAAGGCAGAGTGAAAGTTTGGCCGAAGTTAATGAATTCATTTATGTTTTCAACGTAACCAAACCTAAATGCTACTGATGAAATCGATATGATGCTTATAGATATTTGACTATTAGACCAGCACTAGCCTCCTAAAAAAATATTCAAGACTTAATTGAAATTAAGTAATATTTGTATGCAGAGCTTAAAAAACAAAATTTTATACTAAAACAACTAACAATTTTATTTTCAATTTATATTAATAGTCTACTGGATCAACCCTCGGTTAAAACTGTCGGACTAGCCCGATGAATGTCCGCCCGCTGTTATACCAAGTCCTCCACTGTCCTTAACATATCCGACGAACAAGGTGACATACTAGAGACCCATTTTATACCCACGGCAAACCCTTTTCTCTGCTGGCAAAATTCCGCATTGAAATACTGAGCATTGATGTTTAAATCCAATTCAGTGAGGCTTAGTAAGTTTGCTGGACTGGCCGAACCTCGTGAAATATTATTGGATTTAAGCCCGAAAATATCGTTAACAGTGAGTGTAACAGACTGATCAAACAATGCATTCTAATCATTGTTAGCAATATAATTTGAACGTCATAGTTAATTAGCTATACCTATTAATAGGTTTACATTTCTAGTTCTGATATGTGTAGTTAACTATCCCTGACCAAAATTTAATATTGATAAGGCATCTGTTCGTTAGTGCAAAACTTCTCTTATGTTTAAATAGTGTTCCAAGACTACTAAACCTTCATCATGAGGAATAACAGTATATAGTGACTGTATGTTCATTGTAAAAATATATAAATCTCCTTTTGGAAATTCAAGTTCATTTAATCTATTCAAGTATGAGTGGTGTTTTTAACGTAAGACGATAAATCAAGGCTTCATTATTTGTCTAGAAACTCAGAAATAAATTCGGTAAGGAAACAACAAGTGTAAACTGTAGGGCGTCCGAGCTGAGTTGTCAAGTTTATTAATTTGAAGCAGAAGATTTTCAAAAGTTGAGGATGTTAGATTATTAATTTTCACGCTGTCGGAGGAAGTGTTTGTTCAATGACATAATTATAATCTTATCTTCAAAAACCTTTGTGAGATCTTCATTGAGGTACCTGTAGACTTAAAATTAGTAAAAAGCAGTTTGAATAAGATGGCGTAACCCTTCTTCTACGTACAGTTCTTTTTCCATATTGCTATTGTGGTATATTTATCTGGGGGTTATTATAATAATCGTTTCAAACTTGGTGCGCTCCTGATTTGTCATGTTGTTTCTTTTCTATTTCACATTGAATTTTAAGTCAAAATTTAAGCGCGCATTTGGGATGGCCATAAGCAGATTAAAATGTCTAGTGTTGACAATTTCCTTCACCAGGTGTTCGTTTTTGTTATGTTTACTTTGACAATTTATCACCAGACGCTCGTAAGCGATAAGGTAAAGTTTTCGTATTTCATATCGAAGATGTTTTAACATAATATTTCATTTTTGTTATTAACCACGCATAACATTGTTTATAAATTATAACCACTTGCACAATTCAATTCAGTTTTATCTTTCTTACTGAAGGTGAGGCTTACAAGTTACATGGAGACAGGTGAAAGTCGTAATTCCAGGTTTGTAGCCTACTGATAATAATATTGATAATAATATGATAATTGATATCGTTGTTGAAACTGATTGTCTTCGACAGTTAAGGTATAGGAAAAAAGACCTGCCATTTTTAATTTAGTCTCTATGTGCAGATAAAAATTTATCATAAACTTGAAAACGTTAGCCCAAAAATAAGCTTGCTAATTAAAATTTAAATTGAATTACTGAATTAATACAAAAAGTACTTTACTACAATGACATAAGTCTGTGATTGTAATTTGAATTTTAAAAACATGTTGGACAACTATGCTGCTGTGTGAGATTGTGGCTTATATTGTGTTCTATCTCACAATATCACAATTTACAGTTTTGGCAAGTTGTTAGATAGATCTAATTTTATATATATTAAACATTCCTTTTTTACCAGAGTTGATATTTAAAAAAAGAGAATCTGTTACTATATGATGAAGTAAAACGGACTCAACACCCCATAGATAATTTGGTTTTTGTAATCTAACACTTAGACTCTGATGTTTTATGTTAAGTTTGACTTTCACCTTAGTCAAATTGTTAATGTAAGACTTCAAAGTCTTAAGTGTTAGACTAGTTTCTAGTAAGTTAGAGCTGTGTAGAGGATGTTTTGGTTTAAAGAACACACCTAGAAATACTTACACTTCAGTAATTCAACTACAGTAGATTTATTGATACTAATGTTGACTAACAAAATGTAACCATTATATATATTTTTCTATTAATCATACTACATATTAGTTCCCACTCCTGACCTTACAAGATGTGTTCATTCTATGATCCTAGTTGTTAATCACTTCCAATATTATGAGAAGACCCAATCAACGTACTATTTCCTTAGTGGTTAAACACTATTTAAATTTTATTGTTCCAGGAATAGCTCACTAATAATTACAAAGAATTAAGGCTAGCTGGTAAATAGAAAAATGAGCATCTTTAAAGGTGCTGAGTGTTTCATTATTCCATTTTATTTAAGAAAATTTTTAATTGTTTTGATCAGGATGGGGAGGTGGTTATTTAAATGGAACTTGAATCAACTGGTCGAACAACTAGTTTTGTGTTGAATTTTTTATTTTGTTCTAACAATAATCAAAATGTTAATTACAGTATTCTTAAAAAAAAACAGCTCTTAATAGAACTTTACAGGAACATAAGAGGGCAACTGATGATTTCCTGAAAAGTAAAGGGAGTGTTTAAAATTTTACTTTTAACCAAAGATGAGCTTGAAAGACAGGCTTGTAGAGCAAAGCCACATTGGGCTATCTGCTGTGTCCACTGCAGGGAAATGAACTCAGGATTTTAGTGTTGTAAGTCTGTAAACTTACCCCTATCCCAATGGGGGACTATTCTTATTGTCCTTGGGCTATGTCAGGTTCAGGGTTAAGGTTTCCACTTGCCTATAGCACACACTCAAGCAGGAATAAGATAGTCTATGAAGGCAGACAATGATCTGATAGGTTTTGATTATATTTACACCCAAGTAAAACAAAAGTATAATTCTGATATAAAGCCTAAATATATAAAAAAGTTTTGGATTGTCTAACCGGGCCTGGTGTTCTGTATACAATCTGAAATAACATAAAAAACAACAACACCTGGCCCAGTTATAAAGTCCAAAATTTAACTTGGCATTTTAAAGTGATATCAAAAATTTAGTGTATTTTTCCTTTTGCTTATTTTCTAAGGTCACCACTGTTTTGGTATTAATGTATATATTTCTATGTAACTGATGAGGTACACTTGTGCCACTCCTTCTTCAGGTATGGTATCAGAAGCTTTCTAATGAGGAGAAAAATAGAACTATAGGGAAATAAGCCGATGCCTGCTACAAAGTTGTGGATTACCAGTAGTTTAGGGAAGGTTTTTACTCTTTCCACCCAAGAGCAAAGTTGGAGGGAGGTTCCTTATTGTGGGGTTGAACTTAAAAGACTCTCAGCCACTCAGTGGTGTGTGTGGGGAATAGGAAGTGACCACCAGGTCTATGTGTTTATTCCCCGAAGTGATGTCCCCATACGCTGTTGGGAAACTACTTATGAAAATCAGGTACGTTAGGATTTTGAAAAGCTGTGCCATAACTTCTTTAGAGGCAGTATTGAAACTTTTTTAAGTTTAGTAGTATTTTTAATGATTAGAATTAATTGGCACTGGTGATACGAAAGAACTGTTCAAAATTCTATTGGTGAAACAAAAGGTGTATGTATACATATGCATTTTGTAGTGATGGAGATGCGGCATTTCAATTGACTTGTGTTAATAAGATTAATGGCTTAATTATTCACGCGTCTTTGTTAAGATGTTTAAACTGACTGCAATGATGAGAGAGAGTAAAAGGATTATACAAGATGGAGAGAGTTGGTGACACGTGAAATTACAAAGTCAAAAAGTATATGCAGGGATCGAAATATATTATGTTCCCGCATTTCCGAGGAATTTAACTGTGCTTGAGGAATTTCATCTTTTTTAGTTGGCTTTCCCGATTGGGAATGCAGCGTCCATCCGTATTCCTTTAGTTAAGACCAATTAAAGTTAACATATTGTATGTGATGTTACGTGAGGGAATGTAATCTTCCCGATAGCTTTCTCTCGAGTAAATGTAATTATTTCATTATTTCTATTCCTGGTTGATTGAAAAGTAACAGTAAGGATTTCTTTAGATTCATTAAGAGTAAGAAAATTGTTAGATTGAGACTAGAACCTTTGAGGGATGATACAGGAAGGTTGATATCTGATGATCATGAGATGGTTTGGTTATTAAATTCTTCTTTTTTCTTCTGCTTTTACTAATGAAGATTTAAGTATTATTCCTCATTCCGAACAGGTGATAGATGGAAACAAGATGATCACATTAATTGTGAGCTGGTTAAGAAAGAATGTGAAGTTTAAAGAGTGATAAAGCTCCTGGGCCAGATAATATTTTCCGAAGGGTTTTGAAAGATTGGATAATGTGAGTCACTTGCTACTATATTTTGAATAGTGGGCAGGTGACAAAGGATCGGAAATTAACTAATGTTACTCTTTTAAAGGGAGATGATAAAAATTGTCCCAATAATTATAGACCCATTAATCTTACATCAGTTGTGGGAAAAGTTTTGAAAGTCTGATAAAAGATGCTTTGAAAAGTCATTTAATGAAGCTTAATGTTTTGTTGGACAGTCAACGTGATTTCACTGAGGAAAAATCTTGCCTTACTAATCTTTTGTCATTCTTCGAAGGTACGGGTGTGGATTTGGTGTATATAGATTTACAGAAAGCATTTGACAAGGTGCTACATAAAAAGACTTGTTAGAAAAAATTATATCTATAGGTGATGGGGGGAGATAAGTTGGATCATTGGATAGAAAACTGGCTGGATGAAAGAAAGCATAGGTTTGTTATGAATGGATTTCTTTCAAACTGGGCTAATGTTACAAGTGGGATACCTCAGGGCTCTATGTTAAGACTTCTGCTCTTTTTGACTTACATCAGTGATGTACATGAAGAAATGGTCAGTAAGTTACTTAAAGTTGCTGATAATATTAAAATTTGGGGTGTTTCTGGATGTGAGGAGGATGCTGCTCATTTACAAAAGGATTTAGTGACTTGACCGAATAAATGGCAGATGGGTTTTAATTATAATAAATACAAGATAATGCATGTGGGTTATCATAATTTGAATTAAAAGTATAATTTGAATGGGAATAACCTTAACTGTATCATGAAAGAAAGGGATCTTGGTGTAATAGTTGATCAGTCTCTTAAGCCATCTAATCAGTGTGTTGTTGCTAGTGGCAAAGAAAATACAATTGTAGGTTGTATCTATAGAAATATTGAATACAAGTCTAAAGAGGTTATGTTCTGTCAGATATAAATGACTGTTTAATGTAGGTATTATTAATTAATTAATTAATTTTATGTTTGTGTAATTGATGTCAAGACTATTGAACATTGTGTTTGTAACTCGCTGATGCCAAGGGTACTGAAATTTCTAGAAGGCCTAAGTCATAAATGTATAAATAACTGTGACCAGATGAGCAGGAACAAGAAGAGAGTAAAAGTAAAGTCATATGAAAGGGAATTTCTGTTGGAGAACAGTTAGAAAATGTAAAGTTAACTATCGTAGGAGTGAATGACTTAATGGTTAAGATGTTAGAGTGAGATTAAGAGTTCGAAAGAGTTGAGGAGAATAATTTGTCTCGTCAAAGGGTGTTCTAAAGTAACTGAACCAGCCTGTGTGGATTTTAACGAAAAAGCAGACAATTATTGGAAGTACAAAAAAGCAGATGATTATTGGAAGTTCAGTATACAACTGAGGTAACTCACGCAACAGCATAAGTGAATTATATACTGATACTATTGCAATAAAAAGAGAGAGAAATAGTTTGGCTTGTCATCTGAATTCTAAAGCAATTGAATTAACCTAATATGCTTTTGACAAGAAGAAGAGAATTGTATAGTGTTTAAGATACAACTATGATGTCCGTAGTGTAAAGAATTTTTGTACATATGTTTAACTTGTTTTGAATATATATATATATATATATATTATTTTTAAAACAAGTGGAGTGTATGCTGTTTGTTTATTGTTGAATTTATCACCAACAAATCACAGACACCTACTGTAGAAGAATCCTAAGCCCAACACACCCATATATTTATACTACTATGTATACTACTAAAAAGTAAGTTCCTGACAATTTTACTTTATGCACCACTGGTTAGGCCAAATTTCGAGTATTGTGTACAGTCTTGGGCTCCTTATCTTAGGAAGGACATTTGTTGGAAAATTTTCAGATGAGGGTTACTAGGATGATAACCTGGGATGGAAAGGATTCATACAAGGACAGGTTAAGATCTCTGAAACTGTTTTCTTTTGAGACAAAAAAAAAGAAGAGTTAGGGGGGATCTGAATGAGGTTTTTAAGGTTATTAAAGGATTTAATTGTGTTGATGCATGTTAGACAAACAGTGTTTGGTATTGGCTAATGGTTAGACAAACAATGTTTGGTATTGGCTAATGGTTAGACAAACAATGTTTGGTATTGGCTAATGGTTCGATAAACAATGTTTCGTATTGGCTAATGGTTCGATAAACAATGTTTCGTATTGGCTAATGGTTAGATAAACAATGTTTGGTATTGGCTAATGGTTCGATAAAAAATGTTTCGTATTGGCTAATGGTTAGATAAACAAAGTGTGGTATTGGCTAATGGTTAGACAAACAATGTTTGGTATTGGCTAATGGTTCGATAAACAATGTTTCGTATTGGCTAATGGTTAGACAAACAATGTTTGGTATTGGCTAATCTGAATGAGGTTTTTAAGGTTATTAAAGGATTTCATTGTGTTGAAATCTTTTTCATACTTAATGGGTGAGAATTGTTGGACTAGGGGACGTGTAGATTTTGGCAGGTAGGACCCATCTTCAGTTAAGACAGTTTTATTTTTCTAACAGGGTGGTTGGCCTTTGGAACAGGTTGCCTCCAGATGTGGTGGAAGCAGTAAATCTTGAGAATCTGTAGAACAGCTGTACCCATTAATTTGCAGTTTACCATTGCCTGATATCAATTTTAAAAATTAGTCAGGTATAGTATTGTAGTCCTGATTACCGGTAGTGTTAAGGACTACATTAATACCACATGTCCCAGGTTATTGGTGTTATGTATCAATAAACAGTTCCTGGTAATTAAGAATGTGTTGTTATTAAATCGAGGTATTCGTCGCTAATGTTGGTGACCTAGAGAGAGAGTTGACGAGCTAGGAGAGGGTCGTCACTAAGTTTCAGGTATGAAACGTAGTGAAAAGTGTGATTGATATTATTCCATGGGTTTTTCTCTATAGATTTTCACAAGACTAAATAAACTAACTCATGGTTAAAAGTAATTGTCCTTAAACTTCGTATCATAAAACTAGTTGACTCTTGTTATAATGTGTAGTAGATAATATATAATTCAGCGAAAAGACAAAGACAGTACAACATTACTATTTTGCAAAAAACTTTGTGATGATACTAGATTATCCTTTTGAAGAGAATAAAATGAATTATAAGGTGGAAATCAAAGTATTGTTACGTCTCCGTTCGTTAGTTAATATTCCGTAAAAATTATTTCCGAAGAAACTCTAACGATACAAGTCTTTTCTTAAATAAAACTGGTCTATTTTTTCTGAATACAACTTTGCAATACACTTAATTTCAACAGTCACGGTATAACCAACGCTATAACTCACAACGAACGTCTCACGTGCCCAACAATATTCTCTGTCCACATACATTCAATTACTCATTACATTATTGCCATCACGTTGTGACCGTCTTATATATAAAAGAATACCGAGATCTAGTAAACTCCCAATATTTCAGGAAGGGACGTGAACGTTCGAGAAGCTTGTGGCGTGATACTAGCGTCACGTGACCTCCAATGTCGTAACAGTATTATACAAAATATTAAAATCACAGTAATATAAGAAAATCTTTAATTACAGACATTTCAGAATTTTTTTTGTAGAAAACATGAGGTTAATTGGGTTTTAATTGAGAGGTTGTTGATACAGATGTAAGTTTAGAAAGAACACATTAATATATTTACATTTTATAAATAAAGACTGGAAAAAAAACTATCAAAACGTACATTAATGCTGAAAAGTCAGAAAATCAAACAAGTTAAAGCCTCCTGTACTATGTTTAAAGACAGTGAAATTGACTAGACATGTTTTCTCTCTCTCTTCAGTGCTCCCTGTATAGCTAGAGCTAGTCATAATTAAACAGGAGTTATATTCACGTAAATAGGCTAACGACATAATGTTATTACAGGCAGTGGCGGAACAAGCAGTTCAGGAGCCCCGGGCAAAGAAATGATCGAGGCCCCTTTTTTCAGAAGATAAGACTACACCAAGCCCTGGGGCATTGCCCCATCTGCCCCGTGCTAGTTCCCCCTCTAATTATGGGTTGTTAGACTGTTGAGAGTGGGCAAAGAAATGATCGGGGCCCCTTTTTACAGAAGATAAGACTACGCCAAGCCCTGGGGCATTGCCCCATCTACCCCGTGCTAGTTCCCCCTCTAATTACAGGCTGTTGGACTGTTGAGAGTCCATGTTTAGTAATTTCTGATAAACACAGTTATATGAGAAAGCTATTCAGCAATCAACATTTTTGTTGAGCAAATAAAGAATATCGAATATAGTTTTTATTAAAAAAGTCTTACCTTATGTGATGTTTGTACCTTTGATAAGTAAGCAGTATATGAATTTAATGCTAAACTATTATTCAGATGTGCAACAGGCATCACTATGGCTAGTTATGTAACAAACAGTCACTAGGCCACATAGAGGCTAGATTAAGGCTTAGCGGGGCCCTAGGCTCAGGTAATATTTGGGAATAATAATAATAATTCATTCTTGCCTCTATTCTGCTAGTTTTACGAACCATAATTTTGTTACTCGGGGGACCTAGGCCTGTACCTAGGTGGCCTATGCATTAATATGGTACTGGGCCACACCCACACTTTCTTTGGTTATGTACAAGGAGAACACGTGCATTGCCACACACAGTCATTCCAACTGAAGTTGGATAGTTGGAATAATCAAACAATAGTGCTAATCAGAAACATTAATTTTGATTAATTGATTATTTTTGTCAGCCATGACATTTATTAAGCCTTGAATTAATTTAAAATAAATAGAAATCACACTGGCAATATTTCGATTAGTTTGAATAATTGAAAACAACTCTAATCAGAAATGCTAATTTTTAATTAGTTGACTATTTTGTGATATCAATTGATTTTCATAATTGTGATTAATTAATTACTTTATGCGACACTAGTTGATGTAATTGATTAATCAAGTTAATCACCAAGATAAAGCTTTGACCCTTGAGTCCAGTTGTTAGAACACCGGTCTCAAAAATACAATGAATCTTGGGCTCAAGTTTCTGTGGGGCAGGTTTCTTGACACCTTGATTTGCTATAGCATACTGTACATTTAATTTAATTAACTAGTTATAACCTGTAGTTTGAAATGTTGGTTAATTTTGTGTGTAATAAAAAGATTGTTTAAAGCTTTGTTGAAAATAACTTCTTAAGTCATTTAGATGTTTTTATTTTTAATACTTGAACAACTACAGAATTACATTTGTATAAGATACACAAGATTACGTGTTTGTAATCTAAAGTATGGGTATTTATTCTATAGGTGTGCTTGACTAAGTTTATAATATGAACTTTTTCTAGTGTTTCTAATTAATTACTTGATATATCCTGGTGTTAATCGCTCGATAGAGGTGGAATCCATACGGCGGATTTAGCAGTAATCTATTACCTACGGACCGCCCACCATGGAGTAGTAAAGATGGTTTGAAGTCGCTTCCGAAGGAAAGCTTCAAGCTCGCATCAGATAGCTGGCAGTGGGAAGGAGAGTGGCATGTAGAAGAAAACCTTGACGGACAACCGCTTGGGACTGAAGTAATGTTTCGTGCTTCATGTTGGAAATTTCAATATCATTTGTTTAATTTTGTGGATATTATTCAGTACATGAATTTATTTTTTAAACCATCCTGTAAGTATTACATATTTGTTAAGGATTTTTATTTATTTTTTTGAAGGAAGTAATAACTTGTTATTTCTTTACTTTAAAAATAACAGTCGCCTACTACGAACATCAAACACTATTACATTTGCAGATGAAATAATTTTATTGGGTTGGTATTTTCCCGACTAATTATTCCATTATTAGTAAAGTTGTACCTAACAAGCCACCGGCTCGAAGGGAGTTAATATTAAAGACTGCTGATGAGATAACATAACTTTGTATTACTGCTTTATGTTACTACTGTAATAAAGAAATACAAAGCAGGAAGACGTAAATTTAGTTAGTAAGGTCTGAGATAAGCCTATAGTTGTTTCAACAATTGGGTTTAGTTATAAATTATAATGCTGTGGGACTTAAATATATCAGCTACATTGAAAGTATTTGTTTAAGTAGTCAGTCAAAGCATACTAACAGGAATTCTGAGGTTCGACAACTGGAATGGGTTACCTGGACGAGTAGGGAGAGTAATCTCATAAATTAAGGGTTTTTGATTTGTTGTTATATTTGTGTTTTGACTCAACTTCTAAAAATATATGTTTTTAACAAAACATTTTGAATAACTAGAATACTCAATGTAATTGTTTAGGTCAGTCATTCCATTCATTTGTTATTTAATTGGAGGTTTCTTTCTTCGCTTCTTCTCCCTTCAGACTAATTTCTTGATCTGTATTACTGAGCTTCAAAGAACTTGAACACTTAGCAATGTTGAATTAGGAATATTCCAGTCAAGTTGTTTTAACTCTTTTAAACCTGTAGTTTTTGGTGCATTCTGCCAGAATTATTATCAGGATTTTCTAACAATTATCACTCTACCTTATAAAACTTCAATTTTCATAATTTTGCAGACAATAACATTGTTTGGATTAGTTTTCGTAAATGTTATCAGATGCTGTCACCATCCAATGGGTAAATCTGGATATTCAGAAGGATGCTAGTAGTGATTTCTAGGATGCTATCTGGATGCTAGTAGTGATTTCTAGGATGCTATCTGGATGCTAGTAGTGATTTCTAGGATGCTATCTGGATGCTAGTAGTGATTTCTCAGGCTTAAGGAGTTAAAAAAGTGTTTTAGTTTGCAAACAAACGAACAAACAGAATATGGTTTGTATTTTCTGTAAAGGAAATGTGCTTTTCTTGTTTAATCAGTTAATTAATAACTAATTAATAATTAATAAGAAACTGTATTATTTTAATGCAGGGTTGGACGTATGCTATTGATTTCCCAAGGCAGTATTATCCAGAAAAACGTTGGAACTCCTTGGTACGCAGGAAGAAGTGGATACGGTGTAGACGTTATGCAACTGTGGACAAATGGGTCCAGGTAGTAAAAAAAAATCATATTGATTTTGATATAATAAATTCTTTAACAGAGATAGAGATTTTGGATGAAGAGTTGAAAAGGATGAAGTTTCCCACCGGTTGTTGCTCCGTTAGGCGACCCCTGCTCTCGTGGAAGTCGCACTCCATGGGCTTTTCCTTTCTGTCGTTATTTCAGAACAGAACCTATCTTAGTAAATTATAAGCACTGGGCCCCTCCACCATCTTCAGTGTGGGATTTTAGCTTTTAGTGGTGCAGAGAGGTGAGTAGCATTTCTGAAGTTAACATTTTCCTTTTCTGAAAATGTACGTAACTTAGGAAATTGCTACGGGAATTGTCGAAGAAGACCAGATTCTAAACTACTTATGTCTGTGTAGAGTGAATAAAATAGTGTGAGAAGTAATTTTTTGAAGGTGAAAAGATCTAGCTTCTGAAGAGAAGAACAGTGGAATTTAGTTGGAACTTTTGAAGACTTAGAAACAAATAACGGATCTTGAAATCTTTTTATTGTTTCTTTGGCCATTCTTTTCTGTCCTGAAAATGTTTTCTTGTTTAATTACTTAGTCTGAAATGTACATAAATTTTCTATGACAAGGCAACTGGTAAGCTGACTAGGTGTATTATTACTTTTTTTTAATGTTTCCTACAGCATGTGACTTAAATGAAATACCATTTGTTAAATAAAAAAAACATAAAGTATTTTTGTTTCCGTAGGTTCCCAGTGTACACGAAGATCCCACAGAAGAACCTTTTATTGATATAGCAGTTGGAGGATCTGAAATACCTGGAGGAGATCCTGATGCTGTAACTGTATGGGCAGTAACTGTGATGGGCAGAGTATGTAGCCCTTGGGAGTGTTGTTTGTTAACTTTGTTTAGTAGATGTTGATTGTAATGGTTGTTTAGAAAGTTTGTTCATTAGACTAAGTGTTATTGATGTTAATTGTAAGGGTTGTACACCTTGTTTGACAGACCAGATGTTGATATTGATTGTATGGGTTGTATGGTAACCATGTTCGATAGAGCAGATGTTGATATTAATTGTAAGGGTTGTACGGTAACCATGATTGATAGACCAGGTGTTGATATTAATCGTATGGTTGTACAGTAACATTGTTTGATAGACCAGATGTTGATATTGATTGTATGGGTTGTACGGTAACCATGTTTGATAGAGCAGATGTTGATATTAATTGTAAGGGTTGTACGGTAACCATGATTGATAGACCAGATGTTGATATTAATTGTATGGGTTGTACAGTAACCTTGTTTGATAGGCCAGATGTTGATATTGATTGTCAGGGTTGTACGGTAACCATGTTTGATAGAGCAGATGTTGATATTGATTGTAAGGGTTATATGGTAACCTTGTTTGACAGACCAGATGTTGATATTTATCATAAGGGTTATACGGTAATCTTGTTTGACAGACCAGATGTTGATATTAATCGTATGGGTTGTACAGTAACCTTGTTTGATAGACCAGATGTTGATATTGATTGTATGGGTTATATGGTAACCTTATTTGACAGACCAGTTGTTGATATTGATTGTAAGGGTTATACGGTAACCATGTTTGACAGACCAGATGTTGATATTGATTGTAAGGGTTATACGGTAACCTTGTTTGACAGACCAGATGTTGATATTAATCGTATGGGTTGTACAGTAACCTTGTTTGATAGACCAGATGTTGATATTGATTGTAAGGGTTATACGGTAACCTTGTTTGACAGACCAGATGTTGATATTTATCGTAAGGGTTATACGGTAACCTTGTTTGACAGACCAGATGTTGATATTGATAATAAGGGTTGTACGGTAACCATGTTCGATAGACCAGATGTTGATATTGATTGTAAGGGTTATACGGTAACCATGTTTGACAGACCAGATGTTGATATTGATCGTAAGGGTTATACAGTAACCTTGTTTGACAGACTAAGTGTTGTCATTAATTATAAGGGTTGTACAGTAACCATGTTCGATAGACCAGATGTTGATATTGATTGTAAGGGTTATACGGTAACCTTGTTTGATAGACCAGATGTTGATATTGATCGTAAGGGTTATACGGTAACCATGTTTGATAGACCAGATGTTGATATTGATTGTATGGGTTGTACGGTAACCATGTTCAATAGACCAGATGTTGATATTGATTGTAAGGGTTATACGGTAACCATGTTCGATAGACCAGATGTTGATATTGATCGTGAGGGTTATACAGTAACCTTGCTCTGTAGGTTAAGTGTTCTTGATGTGACACTTTTCACATCAGATTATTCTAGATATCAGGTTTTGTCAAAATTAAGTTGTTACATGTATTAATTTCCACACAAAATTACATTAGCAAGTGAAAATTATGAATCGTGTTTTAATCACTAATATTGTTTTTACCTCCATGTTGTGTCTACGATAATCTTACTTAATGATGTGGACACTTTCCACAGGTTATGTTCCGTTATGGAGTGAGAACCATCCGTCCTGAAGGCCAAGGGTGGATCCATGTTACAACTCCAGCTGGTTATGAAGTCAGTCAGATTTCTGTTGGTCCAATGGGGTTGGTGTGGATTGTACTTGGGGATGGGGCTACATTAGTCAGAACAGGTGTAACCCGTGAAAATGCTAGAGGTTAGTCACTTTGAAGAGGAGTGCCTTAGAGCGATTATAAGAATCCAGAAAAGTTATCTAAATTTCAGAGAGTTTTCAGAGATTTTATTTTTTTTATCAGGAACGAAAAAAGCAAAAGTATGTGACACACTCTAAAAGAATATTTAAAGGACTAATTAGTTTGAGATAGGTAAAGTACCACAAGTTCGGTCATTTAATAGAACATAAATACAATAAACGCAGCTGTAATACTAGAGTTATCTTTACAGAAAGTAGAGGTGTCATATATAACTTCTTCTGTATCATGTAGGTCAGCGGGAATGGATGCTGGTCTCATTTTCGTCATGGCGAGAATTTCTAAGCAATTAACGATAGATGCTGTTTGAGAACAGCAGTCAACAACTTCAAACTGTCGCTTAGCAACACGACTTCAACTTTTCAAGTGGTGTACTTCAACTGTCTGAACTAACAGTTTATATTAGTTACTCACAGTTTCTTGTATAAGAGATCTTAAAAGTTGAGAATTTTAAAATCAGTTTAACAACAAGAAGAAAAGCATTAAAGATATTCAGTTATCTACAGTAAATCCATCAAGATCTACTTTCAAATTGTTTGGAAGTTTTAAACTCAATTTACAAAGTCCAGATTATTAGCCATTTCGACACGACACAAAAGAATCGGTTCATGTGGCCGACACAGCGAAGAGAACGTGTATGATATACTTAAAAGTTAAGAACTAATTTTTGTGTTAGAATGATAACAGTATTCTCTGCTCACCTTTCCTGTCCTACTAACAGCCCACACCGTATTTGTACCAACAGACACTTGCACCAACTTTTCAATATCATTCGGAGATGAAACCTCTTTCCAGCCGTCACCTGCACATCAACTTTAGGGTTATAATTCTTTCTTTGATGGATAGAAATTACCTAAAGAAACTTGAAAATTAAATGCTTAACATATTAAAAAGATAAAAAAATAAAAATAATACATTCCCAAACTTCAAGTTCTTACAATTACAAAATACAACAAAAAATACACACACAGTCCACCCTCAAGAACTATGCAAACCCTTAAAAATTAAAGCTTTTTTATATATACACAGTTAAAATGATACTGATTGAGCAAGTAATACACTATTTTATTATACTGATTGAGCAAGTAAAACACTATTTTATGATACTGATTGAGCAAGTAAGACACTATTTTATGATACTGATAGCTTATAAACACTTATAAGACTAAATATAACACTTCCCTAGCCCAGGTCAATACAAAGTTTTTCCATCAGTTTAAAAATCTGACAACTACATGTTAAGTAATGTTTTGTATTCACTAACCTGCATGTCAAAAGTTATAAACAATGATACAGAATCGTATAATTTAAACAGTTTCAGAAACCATTTGTTCTACATTCTTCTTGTCCAGAAATAGTTGTTAGTTCAACTACAAGTAACGTCAATATGTGTTACTATTATACAAGTGAAGAATATAAAGATTAAATAACACAAAGGTCAAGATCAAAGTGTTATAAATACATAAACAAGTTTGACTGAATGAAAATGTATCAAAAAATGCACTCTAAAATAGTGTCTTACTTGCTCAATCAGTATCATAAAATAGTGTCTTACTTGCTCAATCAGTATCATAAAATAGTGTTTTACTTGCTCAATCAGTATCATAAAATAGTGTCTTACTTGCTCAATCAGTATCATAAAATAGTGTCTTACTTGCTCAATCAGTATCATAAAATAGTGTTTTACTTGCTCAATCAGTGTAATAAAATAGTGTTTTACTTGCTCAATCAGTGTAATAAAATAGTGTTTTACTTGCTCAATCAGTGTAATAAAATAGTGTTTACTTGCTCAATCAGTGTAATAAAATAGTGTCGTACTTGCTCAATCAGTATAATAAAATAGTGTTTTACTTGCTCAATGAGTATAATAAAATAGTGTTTTTACTTGCTCAATCAGTATCATAAAATAAGTGTCTTACTTGCTCAATCAGTATCATAAAATAGTGTTTTACTTGCTCAATCAGTATCATAAAATAGTGTCTTACTTGCTCAATCCTGAGCACTAAATAGACG